TATTTGGTATTTTTTCGCAGATATTCAAGATGACAAGGCAGTGTACATTGACTTTACTTTAAACCACAGAAACATTGGTGCTGTGATAGTCCAGTGGTTATGTCACAGCACTGACATCCCAGTATCAGAGGTTCGAATTCAATTGTCAGCAAAGTATTTTTTTTTTCACAAAATGGCAATGTAATATATGTGTAGTGAGCAGCCGACACCTGTAGAGTGCAGTACTGTGTCTAATCGCAATACTTTCAAATCCTCAATTTTTTTTCCCATTCCCAGCTTTAATACTATTACAGGACTCAGGCAGAAGGAACTAACCTGACTGAATAATGTCTTCGTTAAGAGACATTGTGTAGTTTTTTACTCCCATCTAGCATCATTTATCGTAACATACAGTGGTCCCCAACTCCCGCTCAAGCTCCTTTTTGTCCCTTGCATTGACAGGTTTTATTAGCGCTGTGATAATCTAGTGGTTATGTCACAGCACTGGTACCTCAAGGCAAAGTTTTCCTCACAAAAGGACAATGTAGTATTTGTGTAGTGAGCAGTCGACACCTGTAGAATGCAGTACTGTGTCAGACATCAGCGGAGAGAAGAGAGAATATATGCGAGTATGGCATAGATCCATGGCTTTGATCCATTTCAGTGCATGGGCGTTTCCCGCTATGACGTCACACACAGCTTTGAGGCATAGCCAACTTAAATTCATTAAAAACACAGGGCAGGCCTTGACAGTAAGCTTTGTCAGCTACTTGCCCTTTGGTAATTACTAATTACCATTTATATTTTACTTGCCCAATGTCAAAGGTTACTTGCCCAAATATTTCTCAATACAATGAGTTAACAAGAGTTTGGCAACAAAGTGGCACTAAATGTGTGGAAAAATGAATAAAAACACCACTCTCTGCCCAAAAAGTCACCACCGTTTAACCAGTGGTGGACCGTCACAGTGTTAACCGGTCAAAGCTGTCGGTTATAAAAAGAAAAGGGGGAGAGGGGAGGTCTCTTAATAACACTATTTTAAACACTATTCGCACGGTGTGAAGGAGCGGGTCCGTTTCTAGCTGTGTGCGCCAATGTATTAGGAAACTCTGGGCCGTCTTTCATCGCGCATGCACCGCACACACACACATTTAAACGCACACACATTTGCCAATTCACACTCGTGCACCTTTTCCCCCGTTCCATTCATACTTAACATCCACACGCATCATCCATACTCTCAGCCGTCTCTCCCCTCCGTCACTAGTCCGCCAAAGTTAAACACTTGTGCGGGTTAGAACTACATTGGAGCATACTTATACACACACACACACATACCGGCACGGAGCCCAAAGGATCCTCGCAAATACGCGTTTCTAGTCAAACCATATGGGAACATGTTTGTGTTTATGGTCCTTGGCATCAGCTCCACACATCACTTGTATTAAAACTTTAGAGACCTGTGAGACGTGGCTCGTCACTCTCTGCTCTGACCATGTGAGAGTCTGAGGGTAAAGGGACAGTAGTGAGAGAGTCTGAAGGTAAAGGAGACAGTAGTGAGAGAGTCTGAAGGTAAAGGAGACGGTAGTGAGAGAGTCTGAAGGTAAAGGTGACAGTAGTGAGAGAGTCTGAAGGTAAAGGAGACAGTAGTGAGAGAGTCTGAAGGTAAAGTAAGACAGTAGTGAGAGAGTCTGAAGGTAAAGGAGACAGTAGTGAGAGAGTCTGAAGGTAAAGGAGACAGTAGTGAGAGAGTCTGAAGGTAAAGTAAGACAGTAGTGAGAGAGTCTGAAGGTAAAGGAGACAGTAGTGAGAGAGTCTGAAGGTAAAGGAGACAGTAGTGAGAGAGTCTGAAGGTAAAGGAGACAGTAGTGAGAGAGTCTGAAGGTAAAGGAGACAGTAGTGAGAGAGTCTGAAGGTAAAGGAGACAATAGTGTGAGAGTCTGAAGGTAAAGGAGACAGTAGTGAGAGAGTCTGAAGGTAAAGGAGACAGTAGTGAGAGAGTCTGAAGGTAAAGGAGACAGTAGTGAGAGAGTGAAGGTAAAGGAGACAGTAGTGAGAGAGTCTGAAGGTAAAGGAGACAGTAGTGAGAGAGTCTGAAGGTAAAGGAGACAGTAGTGAGAGAGTGAAGGTAAAGGAGACAGTAGTGAGAGAGTGAAGGTAAAGGAGACAGTAGTGAGAGAGTCTGAAGGTAAAGGAGACAGTAGTGAGAGAGTGAAGGTAAAGGAGACAGTAGTGAGAGAGTCTGAAGGTAAAGGAGAGAGTAGTGAGAGAGTCTGAAGGTAAAGGAGACAGTAGTGAGAGAGTCTGAAGGTAAAGGAGACAGTAGTGAGAGAGTCTGAAGGTAAAGGAGACAGTAGTGAGAGAGTCTGAAGGTAAAGGAGACAGTAGTGAGAGAGTCTGAAGGTAAAGGAGACAATAGTGAGAGAGTCTGAAGGTAAAGGAGACAATAGTGAGAGAGTCTGAAGGTAAAGGAGACAGTAGTGAGAGAGTCTGAAGGTAAAGGAGACAGTAGTGAGAGAGTCTGAAGGTAAAGGAGACAGTAGTGAGAGAGTCTGAAGGTAAAGGAGACAATAGTGAGAGAGTCTGAAGGTAAAGGAGACAATAGTGAGAGAGTCTGAAGGTAAAGGAGACAGTAGTGAGAGAGTCTGAAGGTAAAGTAGACAGTAGTGAGAGAGTCTGAAGGTAAAGGAGACAGTAGTGAGAGAGTGAAGGTAAAGGAGACAGTAGTGAGGGATAACTTTGTGCGTACAGTATCTTTTTTTGTGTATATATATTTATGGCGTCTATTTGTTGTGTTTGTTACAGATTTACACAGTCCATCTACAGGATGGGACTCACCTGTGACCAGTGTGGAAAGACCTGCAGTTGTGCGTCTGCTCTGAAGATCCACTACAGAACTCACACTGGAGAAAAACCATACAAGTGTGGTCTGTGTGGAATGGGTTTTTCTCAAACGGCACATCTCAAGGTCCACAGCAGAATCCACACAGGGGAGAAGCCCTTCAGCTGTGAGTTTTGTGGCCAGAGTTTTAGAGAAGAGCGTACTCTCAAAGATCACCAGATGATCCACACAGGAGAGAAACCGTTTGAGTGTGACCAGTGTGAAAAAACGTTTAGGACCAAAAAGCAGCTGTCAAAACATCAGCGTGTCCACACAGGAGAGGGGCCGCACCGATGTGACCAGTGTGAGAAGAATTTTGCATATTTATGTGACCTCACTGTGCACTACAGAATCCACACTGGAGAGAGGCCATTTGTCTGTGGAGACTGTGGGAAGAAGTTTACTGCGTCTTCCCACTACAAAAGACACGAGAGAACCCACACTGGAGAAATGACATTCCCATGTGACCGCTGCAGTAAAAGTTTTAAAACGGCAACAGAGCGCACAGTTCACAATCGGAGCCACACGGGAGAGAAACCCTTCAGCTGTGACGTCTGTGATCAGACTTTCACCCAGAGCGCGAATCTCAAACGTCATCAGAGGATCCACTCTGGAGAGAAACCATTCGTCTGTGAAAAGTGTGGGAAGACTTTTACACAAGGGTCACATCTTCGTGGACACATTGAAATCTGCGAGAACCTGGTCTGAGGACGTGGCATCTGGAACAAACTTGAGTCCGACTCTACAGCAGAGGTCCTCAGAGGAGACTCTGCGGGTTTTCATTCCAACAAAACTGGAGCACACAAGACTCTTCCCGTGTCCCTGTTATTATACAGAATGCACTGCTTAAACAATATATTGATTATGTGTTTGTTTCTTCTACTCACTTTAAGGCAATGGCTGCAGTTTATTTATTGTGCTAATTCCAGAATATTTATGTTGAAGTTGTGAGCTGACATATGTACAGCCTCGTTTCAAATAAACTCAATACCACTTTTATTGTGTTTGTTTAATAATATAAATTGACTGCTTTGGGAGTTCTAGTGGGTGAATATAAAATCCTTCCTTCAGGCCGACGTTATCGATCTGTGCCGACTTCTATCTCTTATGATTTCATTCGCTTTCCCAAAGAATAACTCAGTCTTCTGTTGTTTTTAGAGTTTTTCAATTTTGCCATTTTATCACTGTGTGCTTTTTTAGTCCTTTACCGCCTGGCCTCGGTCCTCATTCTACAGCCTGAGACCTGCACCGTGTGACCTCGTCCTCGTTCTACAGCCTGAGTCCTGCACCGTGTGGCCTCAGTCCTCGTTCTGATCCCTCTCTAAATTTTTCCAGCTTTTTTTATTTATTTTTTTCAATCAAATTTGTTCCTTTTTGATGCAGGAGAGTCTAAGGACAGTAGTGATGACCCAGGACACTCAACATTCAACAACATTTAGCCTAGCTTTAGCCATCTCCATTGCCACTAACAGAGCCTGTGGGGAGAAGAGCAACAACATAACATAACATTTCTCTTAACCCGGCTTCAATTTCTTGATATTTGGAGACGAACCAGAACGAATTGAATCGTATTCTCTGCCAAACCAGCAAATTTGCCGCAAACTCTTGACGTCACCGACACCAACCAACAACACGTCCGCCTCCCGCTCGCTGATTGGTTGGAGGGGATTCAACCGAGGAAACGGCAAATGGTAATTGACCGGAGTTTATAGATGGCTACAGCTAGGCTAATGTTGTAGCATTAGCCTGGCCCTGTTACCACGTTGTACGACTAGAACAATGTGATAACCGGGTCAAACGCAAAAAAAATATATACAAATAAAGTAAAAGATTCTGATTCTGATATATATGAGGTTAAATTCTCAGCTATTGACTGTGAAATAGGGATATTCTGGTATCTGCTCTCTCTGGTCACTCTCTGTCTCTGGTCGGAGGCTTCGATGTGTTTGGCATCTTGCTTCTGTAGCCGTGTTTGGAGTGACTATCACCTCGAATTATATTGTAAATGTGTGACCCTGGTTTGTGAAAAGCGCTACATAAACTAAGATGACCACTACTACTGTTCTGACAAGACACGTTTATTTTTACAGAACATACTCATACCGAAAGACAATGCTACATGCTTTGCCAAAATGCTTTCTCAGTGCCCACCAGGGGGAGCACTGGGGCTGCGTGGGGCTCTCACACAGTCGTTGTTGATCCCGCCTGGAGCGTTGCAGCTGTAGCAGGCGCTCGAGCCCCGGGTGCAGCGGTAGATGTTAGCCGTGCCGCCGATACCGTTCCCGAGGTTTTGCAGCGCGGTGCGACGGTCCTGCTCCAGTTGAGCCCCTGTGGACGAAGTTCTGCCCGGCACAAAGATTTCAGAAAACACCACAGCGTAATCATTCCAGCGACGAATACTGCCGGCCAGTTTGTTGATGATGCTGAAGGTGGGGTGTGAGCTGCAGCAGCGTGTGTGGCACGGCGAGCGGTGCGTGTAAAACAGCATGAGGTCGCTGCTGCGGAGGCCGTTGACCCTGTTGATTTTGTTCGTCAGAGTTTGGATGTTTTCCAAGACGCGAAATTCGGCATGTTGGACCAGCCCATCCCCTTCCGGCAGCCGCTTCAGCTGCCTGATTTCTCCGCTTGTGCACTGTTCAAAATCCCCCCAGCGCTGAAGTGTGGGACACTTCTGCTTGACGTAGTCCCAGGTTATGGGCTCGTTAGGACAGCGTGTTATGAAGTCTGGATACTTTAGCAGTGTTGAAGCCACCACTCGAGTGCCTGTGTACACCTGACAAAACGGAGTAAAAGATTCATGAATCTTAAAACACTATTACAGTTTGTACAGTTACAGTTTAGGTGGGTTTCGGGTCCAGGCTAAAGATTAGTAGGCTAAAGATCAGTAGTTGTCGTCACACAAGAGCGACATTAACCATTACACTTTAAATATTAATTATGAATTAACAGGTCAAGAGTGTGTCCTCTACTGTGGATGAGGCCATTCACGTCAGCTCTTTTCTGTCCTGGATATGTTTATAAAGATAAAGATAGGAAACCCAGAGACAACATGAGGAAGAACAACGTTCCTGAGGCTAACCACTCCTACCCTCCTACCTGCTATAAATAGCTATAAATAGACCTTGAGCATCCTAGCAATTAAAAATAAGAGGTGTAGGGGAAAGCAGGGGAAGATCTTAAGGGAGTTTGTAGAGTCGCAGTGAGATGTGGAGGGATGCATGAGGGGGCGGGTGCCACTTGGTGTTTGGTTTGAGTGATGGGGAACGAGAAGGCGGGTGGTGTTTGGGGGTTTTAAAAATCGCTGCATTGGCTCCCCGTGTGTTTCAGGATCGATTTTAAGGTTCTTTTAATGGTTTTTAAATGTCTTAATGGTCTTGGGCCTTCTTATCTTTCCAAATTGCTTTTATCCTATGAACCTTCCCGGCCCCTGCGCTCCTCCGGCAGCAGACTCCTAACCATCCCCAAAGTCAGGACACACACTCACGGCGAGGCTTCTTTCCAGCACTACGGCCCCCGTCTCTGGAACAGTCTGAGGAGCTCAGGGCCGCAGAGAACGTTCATATTTTTAAAAGCAGGCTCAAGACACACCTTTTTAGATTAGCTTTTGATTAGTTTTTATTATTCCATTTTATATATTCTATTTATCTTCTATTATTTATTCTATTGCTATTATTCATGTATTGTGTGATCGTTCCTTTTAGTTTCACATTTTTGTGTTTAACTTATTGTATTGTTTTTAGTGTACCCAGTGTTTCCTCTGGAGGAGCCCTCTGCACTGGGAGCGGTGGTCGGCTGTGGCTGTGGGGGTCGGACTCTTGGACCTGGTGGGGGCCTGGAGCCTCGGCTTCATGTCTCCACTGGGTCCTGTGTCGCCCCCTGTGGCTACGGGCGGCTATCTGCTCCTGGTGCAGACGGCTCCTTGGATGACGCTTTTTCAGCTGGTTGCATCTGAACCCTGCCAAGTCTCTCTTCATTGTGAGTGAGTGGTTTGGGGTGGGTCCGTTGGGTGGAAGGCGGGATTGTTTTTAACCAAACTGTAAAGCACATCTTTTGTATGAAAAGCGCTTTATAAATAAAATTTGATTGATGGGGGAGGGGGTGGCAGCAGTGTTGAGGGGAAGATTGGGAAAAGAGGGTTCTGCATTTTGGGCAATACTCTGAGCCGAGCTTAAGATGGTGAAAGCTTTTTATTAAGGCCCGTAAGGATCCGTCAGGGACACTCGCTGTGACGAAGGTTTGCCTGTGTGTTTTCTGAAATCTATAGTTTATGGTCCTTAACAGAGGGGAATTATTGTCAATGGACAGAAATATTTTTCTTTCCATCAAATTTGAACCAATTGTTCCTGCCTTATCAAACCAACTCAATATGAAACAGTTCAAATCAGTGCCTCAGTGCCCCCTACAGTAGTACATTGATTATTTTATTTGTTTTGTCCACAGAGCTCAAACTCTCTGCGCGTCATCTATAGAAGACTGAGGTTTTCTACAGATCCTTGAATACTCTCACGGTGTGTGAGAGAATATAATACGTGATTTCAGACAGTTAAAAGTGGGTTCTATAGGCAGCCCCCTCTGTACCTGGCAGCGGTCCATGGCGATCCGCACGTTTGCGGGAGGATCAGCGGCGATCACTTTGCTGAAGTCGTGTCTTCTTAAGTCATTCTGCGGGATACTAATGGCCAGACTGAACGCGGGAGGCTCTCTGATGAAGAAAAAACAGTGTCCATGTCTTTTATTTATTACTGTACTTGAATAAATAGATTATAGACTGTGTCATACAGATGACCTGTGGGACCTGTTCTCCTACCACCTCCCACAGATGGCCCCTCAGGAAAACTCAATTATGAAGCTGTGTTTACGCCCTAGCATTTCATGAGTTCATTAGTGAATGATCAGGAACTCACATGTGGACATTACTGCACTCTTCCTCTCATTGATTGGTGTAAATATATCCTCTCGAGGTTTCTGTGTTTAGAAGCCTGGCAGGTTGTGGACAACACACGCAAATCATGACACACTGGAGGGTGCTAGAGAGTAACTGAACTAAAACCATGGATGTATTATCATCTGGGTAGGGTATTCCTGACTTAAACTGGTCTTCTGCATGCTACGCTACTGCAGGCTAATGCTACGCTGGCTATAGACCTCTACAGCTTTCTCAATTTCAGTTGGAATTTTAGTGTCTCTTGTCATCCTGATCCTTCTTTCTTTGAAATACATCAGTTTTCTATAAATCCAAACATTTGTTCAACAAACTGCTCGTTCTCGTCAGCTCTAATCTGTGCGTTTGCACCCGCCAATCAGCTCTGACGACCAATCGACCCTTCGCCTCAGTCTGAGGAATTACCACTCACAGAGCACCTCCTGCAGAGACCAGGACGAGAGGCAGAGATGCATCACTGCTGATGTTTCGAGGACAGGCCATTGATTTGAATTGGCAGACGTCTTGGGTCACCAGGACTTCAGCACAGTGGATATTTACTTAAGACTATTTTTGGAGACATACAGAGCAGTAAAATCACATATTTTTTTAATAGAGATATTATTGGATGCAAAGTGGGTGTGATTACAGCCTTTCTTACTTTAGGACATTTATAACTGTTAGCATTTGGACAAAACAGATGTACGGCCTTCTCCTTTGGGGACACTCTTAACGTAATCAGGAACAAACTCTCAAAGTAAATAACCACGAGGCAGAAGCTGAGCACCAGCGGTGTTTAGACTTTGGTGAAAGTCGGTCCTCGTTACCCGAACAGAGGGGGCGGGGCTTAGCATATATTTGGCGGCTGCGTCGTATAGCACAAAATGTCTGTAGAAGCAACTTACTGATGGCCTGCAGGTATCGTTGGCATGTATCTGAAAAATACAACAAACGATGATTTATTATAAACAGCGCCACCGTGAGGCTCCGAGCTGCATGTTTCTTTCAACAACGAGACTCACACGTTCAGAAGTTCATTCACAAATCTAGCCAGGTCTTCTTTCCTCACGACTGCATCGATGAGCTGTGTGGAGAGGAACAAGACCAGAACCAGCAGCTTCCACGAAGACATCTGCAAGACACACACAGAATCTTTGTTCAACCCACAGAGGAGACGTTTCAGTGTTGTAACACACAGTCAACAGGAGGAAAACACAGAGGTATGAAGGTTATTTGTGTTTTTATTATCAACACTTTTTGTGCTTTTGAAATAAATAACCCATAACAAAAAAGTATTCAGTGTAAAGAAAATCCATGTTTTAAATTGTAGTGTCAAAAAAATTCAATGTTGAAAAAAAAAATCAGTTTCCTTTACAGTGAATACTTTTTTGTTATGGGTTATATGTATTTCAAAAGCAAAGAAAGTGTTGTTGAAAATAAAAACACAGAATAACCTTATTAGGGAGGACTCAAACAAGATAAATACTACAAATTGTGTGATATTAAAGTAGCAATATGTAAGATTTTCACTTTAACTGATAAGAGTAGTAGTAGTTGCCAGAAATCACCTCTTCGAGCTAATCTGTCTTGTTATGATTCTCAAATCATTAACGACAAAACAAGGAAAACCAGGATTTCTATCTTTGAGAAAAAGGGGTTGTTTATTGATTTTTTGTGGGAAAAAATCTTCTCTATTATGGTCCCAGCTGGATTCGTCTGCATATCTGGCAACCTGAGTCAGGGAGAGTGGGAGAGGCTGCAGTACCACTTTTGGCCAGAAATGTACATTTTTAGTATATTTTCTCTAACCACCAACATCATGGTGCCTTTTCCAAACCTGTTTTTACCATGTGTCTCTGACCTGTGTCCACGAAAGACGCAACCAGTCCCAGAATCTGTTTTTCTAATCTGTCCTCTGACACTGCTACACACCGGAGCCTCTGCTGTTAACAACCAACTCCGAAGACACACACATCTCTCTTTAATTTTAATTCAATGTCGGACTTACAAAAACATTGAATTTGCCAACACATATCAGAGAATCAAACAGTTCAAACAACATAAACGCAATAATAAATAATAAACACATTGGTCCATAAGGGGCAGAAACCAATGTCCAGAAATGTGGATAAATGTTGTTGGATGTCACGTGTCTCTGCGTCTAACAACTTACAGTAACTCGAGCTGCAACCCTCCTCCTCCCCATCATCGCTCGGTCCGTTGTGTGGTGATGGGGAGGAGGAGGGTTGTGCGGTTGTGGTCCTGGCTGTGGAGCCCTGGGGAGGTCTGTGGCAGTCTCTCGGGTTTAGAGAGATCTCAAGGTTTTATCTCTGCTGTTTTGATGTTTTTCTGTTGGCCTCATCAAACCTGCAGGACCTCCAACCTGCACAAGTGTTAAGTGGCTGGGATGGATATTAGCACCTCAAAATCTTAGGCCAGGGTTCAGGACCGCAGAAACCTCCAGAACCTCTAGTAATGCACACACCCTCTGGACTCTTACCTTTGGTTGAGTTGTAGTTCCAAAATCCTGAAACAGAGAAAAACTGCGTCTGAGTATTCTGGTCTCTTTCTGTCTCCCTCTAATCTCTCTCAGGTCCTTCTCAGGTCTCTCTCTGGTCTGTCTCTCTGGTCTCCCTCTGGTCTCACCTGAGGAGTCTGGATTGAGGAGTTGTGGACACAGAGGGTTTTATAGCGACCGGGAGCGATGCCCTTTGATTTGCAAACACAGCAGAACAGACATTTACCGTCAGTCCAGACTTGATGATCGATATTTCTTCTGATTTAGTGCAGTCTCACATGGTTCTCACATGGTTTATTATGTGAGCTGTGTTGGACAAGTTATTTCAAAGTAATGTATTACACTACAATATTACTGTCTCTGCTGAATTGTAAAGCATTACACTATTACTTCTACTGCATTACTTTGAAGTTAGATAATCTAACTCAGGGGTCTCCAACCTGTAGCTCGGGAGCCACCAGTAGCTCGCCACCCCCTTAAAGGTAGCTCGCCAAAGGATTTAGAAATGAACAACTCAAATAATATATTGAATATTTCGTAATGTATTATTCCTTAACATTATTTATTATACTCTTGGGCACAGGTAATGAATAAGTGATGATTAATAATCCCGCTATCGGGCTCGCTTTCACCAATATATCATCTCATTTTTCCCCGGACCGTATAAAGGAGTAGCTCCCTGTCTTTCTCGTGTTCGCAAAGTAGCTCTCTGGGTGAAAAAGGTTGGAGACGCCTGATCTAACTTCTCTCTCTGGACTCTCTCTGTAAGTAATTATTATTTATATACCGCCTGTCACAGACCAGAGTCACCCACTCAGAAAGGGCCTGGTCCGACCGGGATTCGAACCCAGGACCTTCTTGCTGAGAGGCAAAAGTGCTATCCACTCAGCCACCGTGCCGCCCATGATCTCTCTCTGGTCTCTGTCTCATCTCTCTCTCTGGTCTCTCTCTGGTCTCTGTCTCATCTCTCTCTCTGGTCTCTTTCTGGTCTCTTTCTGGTCACTGCCACAGTTCAGTAAACAGCAGTACTGCAGAGTAAGAGAATCATTGACAGACAATGCCACCTTTACCCTCAGGGACACATGGTTCACATCAACTTTTTTTTTAATCAAACACACTTATCAAGGTTAACTGGAGCAAGAGTGAAGCAATACCTCTAAATTACTTTACATATAAAAAAGACTTGGGTACAGCTCCTTTTGTCTGGAAAAATGAGGGCATGAAATTCTTGGGGGTTACAATTGGGTTGCCGATAGACAAAACTATGGAAAAAAACTTACATCCACTAACAAATACTATAAAAGAAGACCTTAAGAGATGGTCATCACTGCCATTGTCTCTGTGGGGCAGAGTTGAAATAATTAAGATGAATATTCTCCCAAGAATTCTCTCTCTCATCTCCTCAGTGCCTCTTAATATACCAATGTGTTGGTTTGATGATGTGAAGAAAATAACCCTAACCCAGGATCAATATAAAAAAAACTGTCTCTACAGAGAGACCAAGGTGGTCTAGGTATTCCAGACATCTTTCTGTATTATATTGCATTTAATGTCAGATATGGTTTAGCCTGGGGTTATAGGAAGATACAAGAGAAAGGGAGTTGGGATTGGCTGGAAGAACAAGTATTTAAAGAGAATAATGCATCCATTTCACTATCATGACTATGGTATCACCCATATCTACCTGTTAAACTGAAGAACCCTCTTATGCGGCTGACCTGTACAACCATTAAGAAAATGCGCCAAAAATTGGGTAATACAAAATTGGTACTTGCATCCTGTCCAATATGGAACAATATGGCAATTACAGCTGCAGGGAATCCTTTAACAAATAAAGCATGGAAACAAAATAACATTTTGCAAATTTCTGATATTATCAATCAGGGTTGACTGCGGTCTTTTGAGGAGCTGAGAACTAAATATGGCTTATGTACAAATGCCTTTTTGCAATACGCCCAAATAGCTTCAGTTTTCTCCAGACTACTGAAGGAATACTTTAAATATGATAGTGAAATGGATAACAAATACAGAAAGTTGGTGATTAATAAAGGGACAGTTTCGGGTCTGTATAAACTACTTATTAACTCAGACCAGACTGTAAATAAACAAACAGAATCAAAATGGGGACAAGATCTAGGACAAACAATTACCATTTCAGAATGGAAACCAATATGGAGGAATATAACCAGAATATCAAAATCAATAAAAATTAGGATGATACAATTCAAATTATTACATAGAGCTTATATAACTCCAGCCAAACTCAACTTAATAGACCCACAGACCTCAGACTTATGCTGGGGAGGCTGTGGTCAAAGGGGAACATTAATACATATGCTTTGGTACTGCCCTGATATTACACATTTCTGGACACAGATAGTAAATGCAGTCTCAAAACTATTAAGTATTAACCTGTGCCCTTCCCCAGCTACTTGCTTACTCGGATTCAGAGATACTCAACTGGAAAACAAACAGAACTATAAGATAGCTAATATAGCTTTCATTGCGGCTAAAAGAATGATAATAATGAATTGGAAACATCGTAAATTAAACTGTTTTGCAGTAGAAAAGTGGATACATGAATTTACAGATGTACTAGCCATGGAAGAAATTATTAACAACGATGACGGTATGGATCTGGATCTTGAGCAACTCATAGCTGGGGTCGGGTCAAAGGTTGTGGTGTCAGGAAGGTAAAAGCTCAGTCTGCTTTTTGTTTCCTTTATCAAACGTGCCAACTAAATGATAAATACGATAAGTATGCTTAATGCCTATTGATGGCATATTGTGTCTGGGCTCCAGGCCTGTTTGTTGTCTATATATATCTCGATAATTAGAGGTATTTATGTCCTTTTTGTCATGGAAAGACTGTGATGTTAACTCCCCCCCTCCCTCTCCCTCCCCACGTTGTTTGATGTATTCTTATTTTTATTTTATTTTATATGTATGTATATATGTATGTATATATGTATGTATGTATGCGAAGCAGGGTCTCTGCTTCGCAGCCACTGGCAGTCTAGTTAGAGGAGAGACCCGGCTGGGGCCCTGTCATGAAGCCACCTGTGCCATTCCCTTAGTGATAACACAAAGAATACATTACAGAAAAACATCTGGAGTTAATCAGTCTAATCTGGAAAATCTAATTCTTGTTCCGTGTAAGAATCAGCCGACCGCAACCGCTGATACTGAAACTTTGAAACTTGCTACGCTTAATGTCAGATCTCTTTGTAACAAGTCTTTTTTAATCAATAATTTTATTTCTTCTCATAATCTTGATCTTATGTTCATGGCTGAAACTTGGCTTGACCAAAATTCAGAAAATGCAGTTTTAATAGAAGCATCACCACCAAATTTCAAGTTTGAATCTGAAATACGGGAAAACAAAAAAGGAGGAGGCTTAGCTGCCATTTTTAGAGACCACTTTGTCTCCCATAGAATGTCTCTTGGGAAGTTTTCGTCATTTGAATATGTGTCTTTTAAAATACAACAACAAAAACAATCTCCTCCAATACTCTTCGTTGTCCTATACAAGCCACCGCAGTCATGTCACAGTTTTATTGATCATTTTACCAAGTTGCTTTCAGTTGTATGCACAGATTTTGATAGTTTGGTTATTACAGGTGATTTTAATATTCATGTGGATAATGTTGACTTGTTGACTTTGTGGAGATTGGAAACTGTGTCTCAGATCATATGGCCCTGACCTGTGGAGTCCCACAGGGGTCGATCCTGGGACCTCTTCTGTTCAATCTCTACATGCTGCCGTTAGGTCAGTTAATACGCAGAAACAAAGTTTCCTATCATAACTATGCAGACGACACTCAGATCTATGTCTCACTGACTGCAGGAGAACTTGGACCAGTGGACTCACTCCTTCACTGTATCCAACAGATCAGTGAGTGGATGCAAAACAACTTCCTTCAGCTAAACGCAGACAAAACTGAAATGATTGTCTTTGGTCCCCAGAAACAAAGAGAGAGCGTCATCTGTCACCTACAGTCTCTCTCCCTAAAACCTTCAAACAAGGTCAGAAATCTAGGGGTAATACTGGACTCAGACTTAAATTTTAATAGCCACATCAAATCAGTAACATCAGCAGCTTTTTACCATCTAAAAAACATTGCCAGGATCAAAAACATAGTGTCTAAAGCAGACTTGGAGATTCTTATCCATGCATTTGTCTCCAGTAGGTTAGACTACTGCAATGGCCTGCTCACAGGTCTGTCCAAACAGGCTGTAAAACAGCTGCAGTACATTCAAAATGCAGCAGCTCGAGTCCTGACAAGAACCAGGAAGTACGACCACATTAGTCCAGTCCTCAGGTCTCTGCACTGGCTTCCTGTGGCTCAGAGAATAGACTTTAAAACAGCTCTGCTTGTGTACAAGTCTCTCCATAGCCTCGCACCAAAATATATTAGTGACATGTTAGTCCCATATGAACCAGCCCGGACTTTGAGGAGCACAGGGACTGGACTCTAACCCTCACCCAGGATCAATATAAAAAAAACTGTCTCTACAGAGAGACCAAGGTGGTCTAGGTATTCCAGACATCTTTCTGTATTATATTGCATTTAATGTCAGATATGGTTTAGCCTGGGGTTATAGGAAGATACGAGAGAAAGGGAGTTGGGATTGGCTGGAAGAACAAGTATTTAAAGAGAATAATGCATCCATTTCACTATCATGACTATGGTATCACCCATATCTACCTGTTAAACTGAAGAACCCTCTTATGCGGCTGACCTGTACAACCATTAAGAAAATGCGCCAAAAATTGGGTAATACAAAATTGGTACTTGCATCCTGTCCAATATGGAACAATATGGCAATTACAGCTGCAGGGAATCCTTTAACAAATAAAGCATGGAAACAAAATAACATTTTGCAAATTTCTGATATTATCAATCAGGGTTGACTGCGGTCTTTTGAGGAGCTGAGAATTAAATATGGCTTATGTACAAATGCCTTTTTGCAATACGCCCAAATAGCTTCAGTTTTCTCCAGACTACCGAAGGAATACTTTAAATATGATAGTGAAATGGATAACAAATACAGAAAGTTGGTGATTAATAAAGGGACAGTTTCGGGTCTGTATAAACTACTTATTAACTCAGACCAGACTGTAAATAAACAAACAGAATCAAAATGGGGACAAGATCTAGGACAAACAATTACCATTTCAGAATGGAAACCAATATGGAGGAATATAACCAGAATATCAAAATCAATAAAAATTAGGATGATACAATTCAAATTATTACATAGAGCTTATATAACTCCAGCCAAACTCAACTTAATAGACCCACAGACCTCAGACTTATGCTGGGGAGGCTGTGGTCAAAGGGGAACATTAATACATATGCTTTGGTACTGCCCTGATATTACACATTTCTGGACACAGATAGTAAATGCAGTCTCAAAACTATTAAGTATTAACCTTTGCCCTTCCCCAGCTACTTGCTTACTCGGATTCAGAGATACTCAACTGGAAAACAAACAGAACTATAAGAGAGCTTTCATTGCGGCTAAAAGAATGATAATAATGAATTGGAAACATCGTAAATTAAACTGTTTTGCAGTAGAAAAGTGGATACATGAATTTACAGATGTACTAGCCATGGAAGAAATTATTAACAACGATGACGGTATGGATCTGGATCTTGAGCAACTCATAGCTGGGGTCGGGTCAAAGGTTGTGGTGTCAGGAAGGTAAAAGCTCAGTCTGCTTTTTGTTTCCTTTATCAAACGTGCCAACTAAATGATAAATACGATAAGTATGCTTAATGCCTATTGATGGCATATTGTGTCTGGGCTCCAGGCCTGTTTGTTGTCTATATATATCTCGATAATTAGAGGTATTTATGTCCTTTTTGTCATGGAAAGACTGTGATGTTAACTCCCCCCCTCCCTCTCCCTCCCCACGTTGTTTGATGTATTCTTTATTTTTATTTTATTTTATATGTATGTATATATGTATGTATATATGTATGTATGTATGTATGCGAAGCAGGGTCTCTGCTTCGCAGCCACTGGCAGTCTAGTTAAAGGAGAGACCCGGCTGGGGCCCTGTCATGAAGCCACCTGTGCCATTCCCTTAGTGATAACACAAAGAATACATTACAGAAAAACATCTGGAGTTAATCAGTCTAATCTGGAAAATCTAATTCTTGTTCCGTGTAAGAATCAGCCGACCGCAACCGCTGATACTGAAACTTTGAAACTTGCTACGCTTAATGTCAGATCTCTTTGTAACAAGTCTTTTTTAATCAATAATTTTATTTCTTCTCATAATCTTGATCTTATGTTCATGGCTGAAACTTGGCTTGACCAAAATTCAGAAAATGCAGTTTTAATAGAAGCATCACCACCAAATTTCAAGTTTGAATCTGAAATACGGGAAAACAAAAAAGGAGGAGGCTTAGCTGCCATTTTTAGAGACCACTTTGTCTCCCATAGAATGTCTCTTGGGAAGTTTTCGTCATTTGAATATGTGTCTTTTAAAATACAACAAAAACAATCTCCTCCAATACTCTTCGTTGTCCTATACAAGCCACCGCAGTCATGTCACAGTTTTATTGATAATTTTACCGAGTTGCTTTCAGTTGTATGCACAGATTTTGATAGTTTGGTTATTACAGGTGATTTTAATATTCATGTGGATAATGTTGATGACAGAAATGCAAATGAGCTGAGTTCTGTACTTGAATCCTTTGATCTCACTCAGCACGGTGTGGCCCCACCCACAGCAGAGGGCACACTCTAGATCTGTTAGTTACAAAGGGGGTGATTATTTCAAATGTAAACGTGGTCGATGTTGCTCTTTCGGATCATTTCTGTGTTTTTTTTTAACATGTGTTTCACTAACAAACCACCAGTGGACTCTGCAACTGTTCGAAGAAGGCGCATAAATGAAAATACGAGTGAACTATTTATGGAAATGATAAACTTTGAGAATGCATCGTATTCTACTGTAGATGAACTGTTTAACTCTGTCACCTCTAGTGTTTTGAATGTTCTGGATACCGTTGCCCCTGTGAAGGTAAAAATAGTGAAAAATAAGCAGAAGGCGCCGTGGGCTAAAGCAGACTCGGTCAGGGCACAAAAGAGAAAGTGCCGGAGGGCCGAGCGGAAGTGGCGCAAGTCCAACCTCCAG